TGCCTCAGATTCCAGACTTGAGGTTACATGCATGACCACCACATATTTTGTTGTTTTTATACTGACAGTAGTTTGAGATTTATTTACTTATTTGTTTGCTTATTTTTATGAGTTTGGTGGCTTATAGGTAGAATACAGAGAATTACACATATTAGTCCAATGTATGCAGCTGTTATCTGCAGTATGTATACACAGAATATGTTTTCAGGTATTCTGTATATGGTTAGCCTTCCTTGTTCCCAGAAGGAGAAAATTTAAGGATATATTTCAAGATGGGACAAGCGAGGTAAGGTCCCTCAATTTGCTAATCATTAATGTATAATCCCATAGAAACAAAGATCTTAAGGTGAATCAATTTTCACTCATCAAGAACAGTGTTACAAGGCAACATTCATTTATCTTTTAATAGTCTTTTGTTAATTCCTTGGATAGACTTGTTGCATGATTTTTTGATAGTACTTTCTGAAGAGGGTTACTTCAGATGTCAATGTTTCTATATGTGTATTTTCATGCTATAATTAAGCAAAAGACAGAGATGGAGCCATGTGTGGGCAGAAGTTCCTTAAGAACATTTCATTTAACACAATCAAAATGAAGACACCAAATGTTAGAAATGGGAGACTCTCATTTGAACCTGAGACCCCCACCTGAATGGAAACATCAAAACAAACACTGTGACCTTGAATGCATTTGAATGGCACATGTAGGTTAAGAAGAATGATGCAAGAGAAATCATCAAAACCAGTCATCTTTCTAAAACACTATAAGAGTGGCATAAGGTTAATTATTGTTAAAGGTGAGGGTTAGAAACTCTGTACTGGACCTTTCAGTGACTGGGTAGGGCCACAGAGCTTCCCATCCTGGCGGGAGCCAAGCACCCAAGATCCCAGGTCTTCTCTTCCACCGAGGAGACCAGGGGACCAGCTGGTCTGTCAGGACCAGGTAAAACAGGCCCTGCATCCGGACCTGAAAACCAGTGCCTCTGGATTGCCTGGGAACTGCCACAGAGCTTCCTATAACAGCGGGAGCCACGCAACCCAGATCCCAAGTCTTCTCTTCCACAAAAGAGACCAGGGGAGCAGGTAGGAGGCTCGCACCCAAGATTCCTGGTCATCTTCTTCACGCATGGGACCAAAACTAGGATGAGGAATAGAAGAACTACCAGAGTATTGGACTTGCTAGCACCTGCCAAAAGGGAACTCTGGTCCCCTAAACACCAGACAAGTAAGGGGATCTTTCTGCACCCACTAGAAGAAGAGATGGGAAAGAGACAATACAAAAATACACTCAGCAACAGAAAAACAAATATGACACCACCAGTTTCTACAGACTCCACACCAGCAAGATTCCAACATTCTAATGTAAATGAAGCAGAAAAGAAGGACCTTAAAAAAGTTCATGAAAATAATAGAGGCCCTAAAGGAGAATATAGGAAAATCCCTCAAAAAATTGAAGAAAAATCAAACCAAAAATGCAAGAGATGGAAGAAAAAACAAAGCAAAAATGAAAGAAATGGAAGAAAAAACAAACCAAAAAATACAAGAACTGGAAGAAAAAGCAAACCAAAAAATGCAAGAAATGGAAGAAAATGCAAACCAAAAAAATTCATGAAATGCAACAAATGGATGAAAGGATAAACCGAAAATTGCAAGAAACAATTCAACAGTGCAAGGGTTGAAAACTGAAATAGAGACAATAAAAAGCACAATTTGAAGAAAGGCTGGAAACAGAAAAGCTGGACAAATGGTCAGGTACTACCGATACAAGCATTACCAACAGAATATAAGAGATGGAAGAGAGAATCTCAGGAGTTGAAGATACACTAGGAGAAATGGATTCATCAACCAAAGAAAATCTTAAGTCCAACAAATTCTTAACACAAAGCATCCAAGAAATATGGGACATCATGAAAAGACGAAACCTAAGAATAATAGGTGTAGAAGAAGGTGAAGAAAAACACCTCAAAGTGGCAGAAAACCCATTCCTGGGTCAAAGAAGAAATGAAAAAGAAATGAAAGACTTCCTAGAATTCAATGAGAAAGAAGACACAACATGGGACACTTTGAAAGCAGTGCTACGGGGGAAGTTCATAGCACTAAGTGCCCACATGAAGAAACTGGAGAATAGTTACACTAGAGAATTAACAGCACAGCTGAAAGCTCTAGAACACAAAGAAGCAAACTCCCCCAGGAGGAATAGACGACAGGAAATAATCAAATTGAGGGCTGAAATCAACAAAGTAGAAACTAGGAAAACAATTCAAAGAATCAATGCAATGAAGAGTTGGTTCTTTGAGAAAATCAACAAGATAGACAAACATTTGTCCAAACATACCAAATAGCACAGTGTTAACAGGCAAATTAACAAAATCAGAAATGAAAGGGGGGACATAACAACGGACTCTGAGGAAATCCAGAGAATCATCAGGTCATACTTTGAAAATCTGTACTCCACAAAATTTGAAAATTTAAAGGAAATGGATGACTTCCTGGATAGCTATCACTTGCCAAAACTAAATCAAGAACAGATAAGCTATTTAAATAGACCTATAATCACTATGGAAATAGAAGAAGTCATCAAAAGTCTCCCAACCAAAAAAAACCCAGGTCCAGGTGGCCTCAGTGCATAATTCTACCAGAAATTCAAAGAACATCTTACACCAATTCTTCTCAAAGTATTCCATGCAATAGAAGCAGAAGGATCTTGGCCAAACTCTTTCTATGAGTTTATCCCGAAGTCACACAAAGGTACAACTAAGAAAGAGAACTCCAGACCAATATCCCTCATGAACATTGATGCAAAAATACTCAATAAAATACTGGCAGATCGGATCCACAAACACATCAATACAATCATTCACCACGGTCAAGTAGGTTTCATCCCAGGGATGCAGGGATGGTTCAACATAGGGAAATCCATCAATGTAATCCACCATATAAACAAGCTGAAAACCAAAAATCACAGGATCATCTCATGAGATGCTGAAAAAGCCTTTGATAAAATCCAACACCCCTTCATGATAAAGGTCTTGGAGAGATCTTGGATAACAGGAACATGCCTAAACATAATAAAAGCTATATACAGCAAACCAACAGCCAACATCAAACTAAATGGACAGAAACTCAATGCAATTCCTCTAAAATCAGGAACAAGACAAGGCTGCCACTCTCTCCATACCTTCTCAACATTGTACTTGAAGTTCTAGCCAGAGCCATACGACATGAAAAGGGAATCAAGGGGATACAAATTGGAAAGGAAGAGGTCAAACTTTCACTATTTACAGATGATATGATAGTTTACATAAATGACCCAAAGAACTCTACCAGGGAACTGCTACAGCTAATTAACACCTTCACCAAATTGGCAGGCTACAAGATCAACTCAAGAAAATCAGTAGCCCTACTATATACAGATGATAAAAGGGATGATAATGAAATCAGAGAATCATCACCCTTTACAATTGCCAAAAGCAACATAAAATACCTTGGGGTAATGGTAATCAAACAAGTGAAAGACCTGTATCACAAGAACTTTGAATCTTTAAAGAAAGAAATTAACACAGCCCTCAGAAAATTGAAAGAAGTCCCATGCTCTTAGATAGGTAGGATCAACGTAGTAAAATTGCAATCCTGCCAAATGCAATCTAGAGATTCAATGCAATCCCTATTAAAATACCAGCACAATTCTTCACAGACATTGAAAGAACAATAACCAATTTTGCATAGAAAAACAAAAGACCCAACATCTCTGTTCAACAAAGCAACGTCCGGAGGCATCACCATCCCCAACTTCAAGCTCTATTAAGCAGAAACAAGGCATGCACATGGTGCACATACATACACTAAGGCCAAATACCCATGTACAATATATTAAGTAAATGGTATCTACAGTAAATTAGTAAAGAAAATCATTGTGACTTGTCATAGCTTCAGTTATTTCACACTTAGTGATTTTAATTGGCTGAGGATGTCACTTGGCCAAATGAAAACCAGTCAAAACCCAGGAACAAATTACGCCATGGCCCTTTCACTTCATAGCTGCAAAATTCTGCAAATGACTTTATGCTTCTGACTGCCTATGCCCTCTTTAAACTTATAAATAAACTGTAATTAAAAGACTGAATAGGTTAATGATCTTGTAACTACAGCCTCATAAAGACAGTGAGTCTAATCTTTAGGAACAATTGTTCCCCTTGTTTACAAGCATGCAATCTAGGACATAATGACTACGGGGAACTCACACAGTATTACAAATATAGGGAGAATATTCATGTGTCTGTGTTATTTTTTTCTACTCTTACTGGTACTCAATAGTCATGACCAAAATATATGTCAGTATATTATGGAACATTTAAAAACAAATACAATGATTATTAATCTCAAAATAAAATATTAGATATATATGAATGTTTAAGAAGGGCATTGAGGAACATGCCTAAACTCCCAGCCTTCTGCACTGGAGCATGCTGGAACCCAATCTCTAGATGACTGGGAGATATAATGTGAGACTATCTCAAAAGTTATGAAAAGGTCAAAGTAAACATTATATTGGTATTTATTCTGTAATTTCCTATCAGCCCTCACATCTCTCACATCTTCTACCCCATGTCACCTTTTTTCCCTATAAACAAGAAACCGTAGGAGACTAAGGACATATTTTTAAAGATTAATGTTTTTAAAAATATATTTTAAATGTATTGGTGTGGTGACTGTAGGTATGCCTATTCATCACTTGCTCTAAATGTTCCTGAGGGCCAGAGAAAGGCAATGGAATCCCATTAGTAAACACCAAATACTGCAAACATTGAAAAGAACATACATCACAAAAGAAAGCACAGACAATACCAATCTCCCAAACCAATCAACAGTGTCAATGTTCAAATATTGATGACAGAAAATAGGTAGGTGAGATTAGTGTGAGTTGGAATTTGATGACACAATAGGATTCTTAGAACTAAAAGTAGCCAATAATAGGTCAACAGCTCAGAGGTCGCTCTGAAGGCAGTAAGGAGCCTCAAAGGACAAGAGAGAGGAGACAATTCCTTGTCAGCTGCACTGGTCTACGTAGAGGGCTGTCCTGTCACGTCACCTACTAGCAGTTCATTTGATGGTAACATCTCTGGTTAGTAGAGCTTATATCCATCATTAATGTATACTCTGAATAATGAAGTTAAAATCTCATTCATATCAAAATTCACCACTGACCATTTTCAGTATATAGTTTCATGATGAAACATTCACTGAAGTGTTGTGAAACTATCATGACATTCTGTACTCTCTTAATTAATTCTATACTTATCAAATTCCACCACTTATTTTTCCCTGCTCTGGGCCCTAGCAACTACCATGATCATTTTTTAAGTCAGTGGAGTTGAATCCCCCAGGGACTCCTTTAGTATAGCTGCATGCTATTTGAAATAACTTCTGTCTTATTTACTGTTCTATTACTGGGAGACACCATGATCAAGGCTACTCTTATGAATGTAAGTATTAACTGAAGATTTGCCTACAGTTTTAGAGGGTTACTCTGTAATATCAGGCCAGGAAGTATTGAATATGTAGCTGAGAACTCACATCTGATCCACAAATTCCATAAAGAGAGAGGGGGAAGATGGAGAGAGGAGAGAGAAATAAGAGAGAGAGAAGGAGAGAGAGAGAGAGAAGGAGAGAACGACACACACACAGAGACAGAGAGAGACAGACAAAGAGAGAGACAGAGAGAGAGAGAGAGAGAGAGAGAGAGAGAGAGAGAGAGAGAGAGAGAGAGATATTGGGGCTGGAACTGGTATGGGCTTTTAAAACCTCAAAGCTCAGTACAGTGACACTTCTTTCGACAAGGCTACACCTTCTAATCCTTCTCAAATAATTCCACTATCTAGGGACAAGGCATTCATTCCTATGAACCTATGAGGGTACTTCTCTTTCACATCACTATATTCCACTCCCTATCCTCCACAGACTTTGTATCATTATCAAAATGCAAAATGCATTCATTTCAGATTCTCAAGTCTCTATAGTCCCTGCACAATATCAATACTGTTTCTTAGCCCAAAATCTTTCCTGAGACTCAAGGCAACCTCTTACATGAAACCACATGGAAAATAAAAAAGCAAATCATATACTTCCAATATATAATGGCACATAATACACATTACCATTCCAAATCAGAAGATAATGTGAATAGTGAGGAAATACTACAGTGATCCAAGACAAAAAAAATCAGTTAAATTCCAAGTCAGGGCTCCTTATGTCTTATGGCAAAGGATATATATTACTTCCTTTCCAGCTATGCTGACTGCAACATATTTCTCTCTTGGACTATTTTCCTACCTTATCTACAGCTGTTCTTGGCAGAAATGCCATGGCTTTTCATCTCCAACATCGTGGGGGCTCCAATGTATGCCAGATTTCACTTTCACAACTTCACAAAATGTCCCCTTTGTGCATCCATGCAGAGACTCTCCTACCATGCCTTCGTGGCTTTTCTAAACCATGGTGGGAGATGTCACAAACATTTTTCTGTATCCATCTTGACTCTAAACCCCGATCCATGTGGTTAATGTTTCCAAGTTATGCTGTTTGTTGGCCCAGTCCTTGAATTACAGTTTCATAATATTTCAATTGCTGATGGCTATCTTTTCTGGTTAAGCTTTCCTTTACTTCCTTTTTAAAATTAGCTGGATGGAGTCTTTCCATGAGGACAACATTCTTTTTATTCCACTTTTTATCATGATTTTCTTTAAAAGTCTCATCTACTTGAGCACAGGACTTGACTCCAACATTACATTCCCTGGTTCTTTTTCCCCACCTAAATGCACATTCTGTGTTTCCATTATGACTGTTTTTTCTTTTGTTGTTGTTGTTGCTTGGTTTTGGTTTTTTTTATTTTTCAGTTTAAATTTAGATAAGAAACAAGGTTGCTTCACAAGTCAGTTCCAGGGCCCTCTCCCTTTCCCTCCCTTCCTCCCGTGCTCTCCCCCCAATCCCCCCATTATCCCCTCATTTCCCCAGGGAGGGTGAGGCCCTCCATGGGGGTGTCCATAGTCTGTCATTTCATATAGGGCAGGGCCTAGACCCTTCCCCAAGAGTTCAGGGTGAAAGTGCACCTCACATTGTTGGATGGGAGTCCAAAGTCCGTGTGTATACTCAGGATGGGTACTGATCTGCTGCCCAAGGCTCAATAGATTACCTAGGCCTCCTCACTGACACTCACATTCAGGGGGTCTTGATCAGACCCACGCTGGATTCCCAGGCTGATGCCTGGGATTCAAGAGTTAACCTTTGTCAGGTCAGCTGTTTCTGGGGGTTAAACCAGCCCAGTGTTAATCCCTTTGGTCATCAGTCCTCCCTCTCTGTTACTGGCTTTCTTGAGTTCAGCTCAGTACTTAACCGAGGGAGTCTGCCTCTTCTTCGATCAGCCACTAAATGAAGTTTCTGTTTCCCAGACTCTCTGGCCATGGGATTGTAGCCTGGCACTCCCCAGATCTATGTCGAAAATAAATATATGAGAGAGTACATGCCATTTTTCTCCTTTTTTGACTGTGTTACCTCACTCAGGATGGTTTCTTCTAGTGTCATCCATTTGCCTGCAAATCTCAGGATTCCATTATTTTTTTTCTGCTGATTAGTACTCGATTGTGTAAATGTACCACATTTTCTCTATCCACTCTTCGGTCGAGGGACATCTAGGTTGCTTCCAAGTTCTGGCTATTACAAATAATGCTGCTATGAACATAGTGGAACAGACATCTTTGCTGTATGAATGGGCATCTTTTGGATATATGCCTAAGAGTGGAGTTGCTGGGTGTTGTGGTAGGTTTATTCCCATTTTTCTGAGGAATCTCCATACTGATTTCCAAAGTGGCTGAACCAGTTGGCACTCCCACCAGCAATGGAGGAGTGTCCCCCTTTTACCACATCCTCTCCAGCATAAATTGTCGTTGGTGTTTTTGATTTTAGCCATTCTGACAGGAGTAAGATGGTATCTCAGAGTTGTTTTGATTTGCATTTCCCGGATGGCTAAGGATGTTGAGCACTTTCTCAAGTGCCTCTCAGCCATTTTAGACTCCTCTATTGAAAACTCTCTATTTAGTTCTGTATCCCACTTTTTAATTGGATCCTTTGGTGTTTTGGAGACTTGCTTCTTGAGTTCTTTGTAAATTTTGGAGATCAACCTCCTGTCAGATGTGGGTTAGTGAATATTTTTTCCCATTCTGTGGGCTGCCTTTTTTGTCTTGCTGACTGTATCCTTTGCCTTACAGAAGCTTCTCAGTTTCAGTAGGTCCCATTTATTAATTGTTGATCTCACTGTCTATGCTACTGGTGTTATGTTCAGGAAGCTGTCTCCTGTACCAATTTGTTCAAGGGTACTACCCACTTTCTCTTCTAAGAGGTTCAGTGTGGCTGGATTTATGTTGAGGTCTTTGATCCATTTGGACTTAAGTTTTGTGCATGGCGATAAACATGGATCGATCTGCATTCTTCTACATGCCAGCCTCCAGTTATGCCAGCACCATTTGTTGAAGATGCTTTCTTTATTCCATTGTATATTTTTAGCTTCTTTGTCAAAGATCAGATGTTTGTACGTGTGTGGGTTAATATCCGGGTTTTCAATTCAATTCCATTGGTCTACCTGTCCATTTTTGTGTCAATACCAAGCTGTTTTCAGGACTATAGCTCTATAATAGAGCTTGAGGTCAGGGATGGTGATGCCTCCGGACGTTGCCTCCATTTAACAGTGATCACTAAAGATGAAGGGCTATAGGCAATACTAGGCTGTGATAAATCTCTTCTGTCAAAGAAATTAACCCAAAACTCTTCAGTTTAGCCTCTGGCAAATTTTTAGAACAAGGGCAAAAAGAAAGCCACCTTCTTCGTAAATGTTTCCCAAGAAGCATATCTATTTGAACAGCTGCAATTTGATACCTTCTAAAATCTTTTGACCTGATCCTACATACTTCACAATTCTCTCAGCATTAGTATCTTCCAACTTTCTACTAGGATGGCTCATTAAGCCTGTCTTAATGCATTCAACCACTTTTCTAATCTAAATCCTGGAATTCTTCCATATTTCTCCAACAAATAGAACAGTAAGGTATTTCACAGAAACATCCCCAACATCTGATTAAATTACTGTTCTAAGAATCTGAAGAGCCACTATGATCAAGATACGTCTTATAAAAGAAAACCCTAAACAGGTAGCTTTATTTCACTTTCAGATGGTTAGTCAATGATCATCATGACAGGGAGCAAATAGGCATGTTTCTGGAGCAGTAGCTGAGAGATCATATCTAATTCACAGATTTCAGGCAGAGGGAGAGTATGTGTGGTACCGGGTATGTCATAGACTTTTGAAAATCTGAAAACATACCTCCTTTAACATGTCTCCTACAAAAATTGCATACTTCCTCCAACAAGGCCATACCTCCTAATATACTCCAAATAGTTTCACTAACTTGGGACCAAGCATTCAAACAACCATATGGGATTATGGGAACCATTCTCATTCAAACCACCAGGGTTTTATTGGCTTATTTTACTTATAACAATGTTCTCAAGGTTCATCTATACTGCCACCTGTGTGAGAATTTCTGTCCTTTTCAATAATATAATAAGGAATAATCTATAATCAATATAGTTAGAGTCCTGCTTATGATGTTTCAGTTGGGTTATGACTTGTTACCACCCGAGTTTCATGTATTAAATCCTTGGATTCTCCCTGGTGGTGCTATTTTCATACATTCTGGACACTTAAGGAGATAGTATATAGAGTGCAAGAGGCATGCCTTTGAGGATTTCCCTTCATCCCAGGTCCTTACTCTGTCCTTAATTCCTTTCCAGTATAAAGTAAGTAGCCATAACCACCTAATCCCATCACCAGAGTTATTTTGTTTCTTCATTTCTGAAAAATCAAAGAGTCAAAGTTGATTAAAATATCTGAAAATGTGACATAAATGAAATGGTTCATACTCCCCTTTAGTTTTCCTCTGAGATAAAGTGATCATAGCTGGAAGATAACCAGTAAAGAAGATCTAAGTTATGGTGTTTCAACAGAATCATGCTGTTAAAACAACAAAACCCAAAAGCAAATATTGTGTGAATGAGTTAATGTGCTTAGTAAAA